AGGGCCTCGGCTGTCTGCCGAAGTGGGGTGATTGGGGCTGTGCTGGCTTTCTGGGTGCCTTTAAGGACTTCCTGGAGCCAGGGCTCCCTGGGGTTTTGCCATAGAGGATTTGCAGCTGTCTCAAGGTCTGCGCCCTGAGCTGGAAGTGTGGTTGTACTTGGAAAACTGGCCTTGGGGTGGGGTAGTGTTGGGGGGTGGCCTGATTTGGGGTGTTCACAGTAACTGTGCTCATTGGGCCAAGCCCCGAGCTGGGCGTCAGTGGGAGGCCGGGAGCCCCTGGTTCGTGTGTGCCCTCCCTGGTGACAGCCCAGCCCTCTCCCCAGGGCGTTACAGACTGCTGGGGCAGGTACAGCCCTGGAGGCTGTTGCCATGCGCTCCTGCTGATGCAGCAGCACTGAGCTGGGTGTGAGGAGCGAAATACCCCTCCGCCCTCCCTCGGCTCCCTGATGGCACTGCCGGAGGGCTGGCGGCAGCCCCAGGAGCTGTGGGTCAGTGCAGCCCCCCAGGGCAGGGCTGGCGCTGGTCCGACTGTCCCTGGGCTGTGGCACCACTATGGACAGGCCTGAGGACAGCTGCAGCCCTCCCCGTATGGCGCACCCCACCTGTCCCCGTCCCCAAAGAGCAGCTCCCCGTACATGGGGCATCGGGCGGAGGCTGCTCTCCAACCCTTTTTCGAGCATGACCTCGCGGCAGCACCTGGAAGACTCTCCTTCGCAGTGTTGCAGAAAGATGCCGAGTAACTGTGGTTCCCTGCCAGGCACTGGCTGCAGCTCAGGACCAGCCCAGCCGCGGCTACGGCTACGAGGCCCCCTCAGCCGCAGCCGGGCATGGGACTGTTGGAACAGCAGGCGGCTGCCGCGGGGGTGCTTCGTGCCTGACCTGTCCCCTGGCTGGTCTCGGGGCCGTGCCCTGGGCTTCATGCGATGCTCAGCGCCACGACTGGAAGGAGCGATCATCCAGCTCTGCTGGCGGCAAGACGATTTGCGTATTTACACGGAGGTGAGCCTGTACGTGGAGTTCGCCCACATGGATTGTGTGCACAGCTGGGTACTGGGGGTAACAGGCATGCAGGCAGCACTCGCTGGGCCTTCCTGTCGCTCTCGGGACGGGCTCCTGGGCTAATGTCACCTCTTTGGCTCTATCGGTCTCCGTGCAGCCTTGCTGGCTGGTGCCGACCGGGCTCGCAGCAATAAGAGATGCTTGAAAACAGTTTGCACAAGATGATTGCCACCGCAAGTCGCTCCCCCGGGGGCGCTGGCGCG